CAATGCCGTCACAAAGACTTGGGGTATTAATCCTATCATCTGTTCAGTGTGTGGAACTGCTGAGTGGGCTGTGCAGTGAATGAGAAGCTGTAGGTACTAGAGAAAAGGGGTATGGTGTGTAGGCGTATTTGGAGCACATTCAGAATTCATGCCTTTCCCTGGCTGTACTGATTGAATGTAAAAATTTCCTTCTGTGTCTCCAGCGGTCACCAGTAACGGGAATGTGCAAGTGCGAAGGTCTGATGGTGGTGGAAAGGCAGGTGGAACGTGAAACAGGCTGGAGTGATGGAGGGGCATAGCCCTTCTCTGCATCTGTGGTTGTCTGCGTGCTGTTGCTCCACTGAAGAAGGCTCTGAAGGAGTCATGCATCTTGCTGAGAGCAAACAGAATGGTAGATTCAGCACTGCACATTCAGGCCAGAATATAACAAATGGACTAAACCAAACTGGCAGCTCCCAAGGTCATGGGTGTTGAATATATAAGGATTCAGCTTTGAGTCTTGCAGGCTGAGTCCATCTCTAGCCAGCAGAACGCGTCTGCCACGAAGGAGCTGGCACTTCTTAGATGCTGGCTGCGTGTTACGTTTCCTTCTGTGGCAGATCTGGTTTAACAGCGTCTGTGAAACCCAAACTCCCTATCCTGCAGACTCTCTCTCACTAGAGCTGCAGTTCTGCACTGTGGTTCTTTGCCAGCAAATTTAGTTTGAGAACTTCCTACTCTGAATGACTTGTGTCTGCCCCCATACTGTGATTATTAAGTAGACTCTGTGATTGCCCTTTAAACTGGATCCATGATATAGTACAAGGAGAAAAAATTATTTCCCTCAAACTCACCCACCCCCCACCAAGTATTTGTTTTTAAAAATAATGATTTCACAGATCTAATTTCGAATCAGCACAGCTGAGGGGGCCATAATGAGTGTCTGTAAATTGGGTGATAGGAACTTCTTAAACCAGAGCAGCTGCCAAAGGCATCTTAACATGGAGCTTCTGCCGTAACGAGAGACAGCTTGGCAGGCCAGGATCTGCAGCCAAAAAGCTGACTCCAGGCTTGTGGTTTCCCACCTGAGTACTCAAATCAGCACTCCTTAGGCCCTGCAGCTTTTAGAGCCTCCATGCTGAGTGGAGCACCCAGGAGCGGGGAAGGTTTTTGAACGTGAGTAGTCAGGAGGAGAAAGCTGTGTATTGCACATCTCAAAAGCCTATATTGTTTTTTAGAGGGCTCAGGCAGGATGGGGAGGGAGGGCTTTGTTGCTGGCATATACAGACACGTTTCCAGCCAGACATTGAGCGTTAGCAGTGCAGAGACAAATATGTGCTTGGGCTTTCAGTGGGAAACAACAACAAAAAATCCTTTCCATTTCTTTCAAGCTGTTGTTTTAGAGAACAAGAAGTCTGGATTTATAAGCATGTATGTGAGATACACCTTGGAATGTGTATCAAGAAAATCTACATAGAGAAAATGTGTAGCATAGAAAGTAGGTCTTACTGCTGACTGTCACTGTTCAGGGAAAACCAAGCGTGTGGTGGAAATCTCTGTGTGTGTTTCTTAAAATAAAAAAAAAACAAAGAAAAAAACACCTGTTTGTGTATAAATAGATCTGTTTCTTCTGATTTCATAGTGCCCATTACAGCATGTGCCAATTTTTCTGGAGTGTCAGAAAAGGAACATCTCCAGAAAATGTTGAGGTTACAACACCCGGATAAAACCTGCCTGTGCTACCTTTATAAAGATACAGTCAGCTTAGTCTCACAGCGAGCAAATGCACTGGTGAACTTGAGGTGGTTGCCAGACCTTTCTCACTTCTTTTTATATGATTTGCCAAATCCTTAGCTAGCTGGAGGGTGAATATTAAGACAGGCAGCAGCACTGAAAGCTAAGCAGTGATATGTTGAAAAATTCTGCTTGGGCAGGAGATAATTAATGTGATTTATTTTTTGCGGTGACCGCCCTTTAGATACCCTAAAGCAGTGGCTTGAGCTGGAAAGAAGGGCACCTCTGAAAGGATGCTACTGTCCCCTGGGAGTGGGCTGGAATAGTGTCCAGTGAGCCCCGAACACAAAGCTGATGGGTTTGGTTTTGTTGTTTATTAAAGACAGGCCTTTGTACAGCAGTAATGGAAAATCCTATTTCTGTACCAATAAAAACTTTGCTCCCATGGTTGTTGTTATTGGCAAACTTAGTCACTTTGGTGTTTATGGAAAAGTATTTACTGGGAAGGACTGGATGGTTAGCAAGCTTCATCTGCTTTCATTTTGCTTTGATGGCACACATGTTGCTATGGGACCTTCTGTTTCATTCCTGTACCCCATCTACAGTCCATCCTTCCAGGCTGGTGTCCCTCTTCTGCAGCGTGGACAGCCAATGCCCCTGCTGTTTGCTGTAGCAAGGTAGAGCGTTGCCTGGGTCTGGCTTGGACTCTTCTTTTTGGCCTGGGGGGGGGCATCAGCTTTGTGTCGGTTCCTATTTTACCGCACAGGACGCTGAAACAATGCAGTGTGTGTTTTGTAGCAGTCAGGCTAGACCTAGTTGGCATGTGGGGTATCAGCCAGCTGACAATAACAATAATAAAGAACTTGAGTGCTGCAGAAGGATTAAAAGAAGCTTCTCTAATAAATGCAATTACACAAACATGCTTGAGCCATGTGTCCTATTTAATTCTTGCCCAAGACGAGGCATTCTTCAGGGTACTGCTTTTGTCTGAGTGAAAGAGATATCCAGGTGCCTCAGGCATCCTCTCTGAATCCAGAGTGGCTCTTCTGTGCCTTGGGTGGCAACAAATATTGGGCTTCAGATTCCTCTGAAGAACAGTTATTCCTCCAGGACTGAGCCAATTCTTTTGCCAGGCAGTGACTTTATAGCTGGCAGAGCCCTTGCTGCCATCCAGACCTCACAGGCAGCTTTCGTTGCTGGATGTGGCTCCCTGTCTGCATGCCCCGTGGCATTGTGTTTGCCCACAGAGGTGCCTCTGCTCCGTGGTGAGGAGCCTTTTGCGTACGTTCTTGCAATTGGGGATCTTCCAGTGGGCCTTTGCCACTTTCTGGAGAGTACCTTGGCACCAGGAAGGGCACCAGGCTAAACACCATTACAGGCTGTACTTGTTCTCTTGTCAGGGCAATTTTAAATCACGCCTTTAATGTGTTTTGTTCTCTCCTGCTGGTGAGTGAATTTTCCATCTCTGCCTTTCACATGAACAGGACTCATGATGGAGATAATGTCTTACAGGCTGTTACAGAGCTGCTTGTTGTTAACGCAGGCAGCACCCAAGAAATACTCGCTGGAGTTAATGGGTTGGTACCCCAGCTCTGGGAATTGGGACCGGGAGCTGGAAACATGCAGCAGCCTCCCCAAGTGCAGAGGAGGCAGGAGGCAGTTGATTAATGCAGATATATGTGGATGTAAGAAACACGGTCCAGATCATCCACAGGCTTGCTGATTCTCGGGCATGGCTTTGACTTTGCTTCTCTGGGAGGCAGTGGTTGGGCAGGCATCGAGGTGCATCCCTAGGGCTGGACTGATGGGAAGGGACCTCCCGGAGATTGCTTTATGTGATGCAGGGAGGGCACGTTTGTGCTGCCTCAGGGTCGGGTCATGCTTAACTTAACAAATGACCAGTGTTAGTGGGCCAGGGATGTTAAACCTTGAATGTTACTCTTTTCTGTCAAAGCTCTGTCTCCACCCTTTTAAGGGTATTTAGTCTGAAATCATGGCTCATCTGTAGAAGCTGAGGTTTTATGAAAACCATTAAATATTCCAAGGTTCCTGGTAAGGTGCAAGGTAAAGGATTAAATGGTCCAGAAAAGCTGCTCTTTGACTTTCTCAGCTCCTTGCTCCTCAGTGCATACATTCCCTGAGGTATCTCATGAGGTAACTTGTGTGCAGAGAGCAGCTGTGCTCTTGCTCATAAGCACCAAATGTTTAATTCAGTGGGTGCTTGTCAAAGTACATTAAAAATGCAGGTAGCACTTGCTGTGTGTGAGCCAGCTCTTGTAAGCGAGGCACTGTCACAGGGTAATGTTACAGACTTGACACAAATGGAGCCTGCTGGCTCTTGGAAGTGTCCCGGCTACCTGGAGTGTCCTGCCGGGCTGGCATTGCCCCACTGTCTTCGAAATGCTGCCTTTTCATGGTGATGCTGTAAGATCCCGAGGAAATGGGGGGCAGAGAGGATGTGCCACAACTGGTGATTATCTGGTGTGTTTTTGCTGCTATGTGGTTCTCTCTTGTCCACGTTCATCTCTATCCAGTTGTATCTCGTCCTATGTTTAGATCCAGTCCTGAAGATCTCGCTGGCATGAGTGGGAGTATGACGGCTTGCAGACACTTCAGCAAGGTTAAGGTCTTTTGTAAAATCACTAGAGTAGAGGTTGTATTTGTGTGCACAGCACCTTGCACAAATAGGTCCCAATCTCTCAGTTTGGTTCAGCATCCACGTGTGCAGTCTTCCTAAGGGGAATTCACGTGCTGTCAAGTGCAACACTGCAAAACTCTGGCAGTGCAACAGAAAGACTCCCTGAGCACCTTGTTTTTAGACGAGAGATTCAAATCAATGTTTGGCAGCAAGGCTGCATTAGGCAAGGTTGAGGCATAAATTCATAAACAGAACTGAAAGGGTGAAAATCGACATTGCTGGGATACGAGAGAGAAAACGGCTTAACTCTTGAAAAGTACATTGGGCTTGTACGGCACTGGAAATGCTGGTAATATCAGGTGAAGTTCCCAGTGGGCTGCCAGTATGCCTTGTGAAATGGGCAGACATTAGAACTGGAGGCAGCTGCTCCCTTCCCATCTGCAGGACAAGACCTCTGTTCATCAGTGCTCATCTCCTCCTGACATTTCGCTTTGTGCTCTTTCTGTTTTGAAGACTGTAACGATGTGCGTTTCTCAGGCCCTGGCTAACAGTTGCTATAACTACCATTAATGCAGTCGTTGAGGGCAGGTCCTGGTTTAGCCTTATTTCTATCAACCAGCCAACTGAATTTTGTTTTCTTGCCTTTCAGTCCTTTCAAGGAAGCCAAGGACGAGCATACCTCTTCAATTCAGTGTGAGTATAACTTTGTACATGTCACCTCTGCATCTCTTAGGATAGATTTAAGAAAACCCTCATGAAGAAGAAAACAGAAGCACAGTCTTCCTTTAGAAAACCTCTGCCTAAGACTTGGGAGCTTGCTGAAAATAATTGGAGAAAGGCAGAAAGTGGCACTGATTGATATTTGATTTTATGTTGAGGTTTCAGATAAGCAGCTAGGAAAAGGTGTTTTTTTTCGTCATCAGATTGAGAAATAAGAGCTAACAGATGAGTCATTCTCTTCTCAGAGAATGTAGTTAGACCAAAAAGTAAAAGTTTCGTAAATGTAGAGAATAAATAATATCTAAATACGAACTTACTTTTTAGAGCTAGCATAAAAATTAAGTATAATTTTCCCAATAACTGAAAATAGTTTTGGTGAGATGACTGCTGGGATGTCTTTCAGAAGAACTGCTGATTTCAGTTACAATTTTTCAAGTTTCCATTTGGGAAAGTAAAAGTACCATTTTATCAATTTGAAAATGAAAATCTTTCTCGAGTGCATAATTAGTGCAATTTACTAGAATGTTATCAATCTTCTGTTCAAAGCTTTATAGAATTTTTAGTTGAATAAAAATTCTGTTTTACCTTTTCATTCTGCTCGGGAACTGCAAGAGATCTTTGTTTCGGGCACAGCTGTGGTACTCAGTATCCTGAACCTCCTGCTTATGTTTTCAAATACTGCAATAAAATTGCTGTCAGCTTCATTGTAGTGTCTTGCTGTGGAAGGACATACTAATAGGGAGCATCTCTCCTTTTTCCCCAGAGTTAATGTGGGTTGTGGCCCTGCAGAGGAGCGGGTGTTATTAACAGGATTACATGCGGTTGCAGATATTTACTGTGAAAACTGCAAAACCACACTGGGTTGGAAATATGTGAGTATCAGTATCATTTGTTTTTCCTGTCGACATCTTTACTCCAGCCCTTTCTGAAGGTGTGTGTATGGTAATGTGGTCTTGTGGAAAGACCATTAACTTGGGAACCAGAAATGCGGGTTCTGGTCTGTAGCCATGTCTTTTTTCCTTCCTGCGTTTCCATTTTCCCTCCTGTCTTGTGTTTGTTGCATCCATTCAGAGCAGGAGCTCTTTGTGGCTAATGTATTTTTTAACTAAGAATATACACTGTGGGCCTGATTTTGGTGGGCGTCCCTTAGTGATACTTAACATAAATGAGGATAACTTCAATCAGACTTTTGGTTCATATTGTCTCTTTTCCCAGACGATACCAGAATAATAGAATGATCCATGTATTGTTAATGCTATGTCCTTCCCACTGGAAATGCTGTTGAACATGAGTTTATCTGTTTGCTGTCTCTTGCTCTTCATAAATTCAATTACCTTCAAATAAAGGCTTACGCTACATCCTAATTTGTGCTTCAGGAGGCACGCAGCATACTTGTTTGTCAAAACATTTTGACCAGTGTCTAAACAAAACATATATTGTATCTGTGGCCTCTGGACAGAAATACTCTTTAATAAATCAGTTGAAAGGTTATAAAAAGTAAAGCACCAAAAATTGATGTGGTAGGAATTCATGCAGAAACACAGCATGGATCTCACAAATGGAGGAGGACACTAAGTACATAAATTGAGTTTATTGTAAAACTAAATACAAAATTTTGTAAACCTAGCAGTAAGCCCAAGCCTCTCCAGCAATAGAATTACCTTATTTCAGATGCATTACGTGCACGCAAACAGCACACCTGAGCAGAGCTTGAACCGCTTTTGAGGATGCGGCCTCAATAACGGGAGTCCCTCCTGGTTAGGGATCCCATAGATTTCCTTACTTACAACTACTTAGTGTTAAAGCACTGCGTGGTTTAGCTGCAAGCACGCATCTCTGTAGAGTGGGTCCTTCTCGTCCCTCGGTGCCCGTTCGCTCCATTTCCACATGAAGTTTACCATAATCCGCCTTGTTCCCGATGGTAGTGTTTTTACAGCATGTTTCATCAGAGGACTTCTGCTTTCTTAACAAACATTAATAAATTCTCAGACCACCCTAGAGAGAGGTGGATTTTATCACTGATGATTCCTAAAGCATAGTCCAAGCAGCAGTTGCCGTTGGCCTGCAGAAAGCGGCACATTTACATGGTGCCGGTTGTTCTTTTTTTCCTGTAAAGATAGCTAGAAGCAGGATTTAAGATTCTTCCAACGTAATTTTCCTGAAAGCCAACAGGAGGGCCTGCAGTTTGACTGTTTTACTCTGTAGACAAGGCTAAGACTTGTACCAGCATTCCCGGATCTGATCTGTAACTGCAAGTTTACCCTCAGATATCATCTTGATCTCATTCTTTCTCCTTTTTTTTAGGAACACGCTTTTGAAAGCAGCCAGAAGTATAAAGAAGGCAAATACATCATTGAACTAGCTCACATGATCAAGGATAATGGCTGGGATTGAATGGAAAGAGCCCAGCCCTACCAGCGTGTAAGAGAATGCCATCCAACCGAACATTATATCCAAGAGTGAGAGAGTGACTGAACGCTTGGTTCCATGCATTTAGAGGCTCTGCAATTTGGGAGCATCTTCACACCCTTCTCCATCTTTATTGGTGACTGGCCTCTAAATTTCTGTCTCTCTGTCTCTTTGCTTTGTATCTGTTTGTGAGTTGACCCTGGCTGCTTCTCTCTCTGTTCTGGCGTTGGCTAAGAGAATGCACCGAGTGCCCGACAGCCATTCCATGTTGATGAATGTTTAAGTACAAACTGAAGTTGGCTCTGTGGTGGCATTTTATCAGAAGGTCTCGGTGCGGGAGGAAGACCCGAGTTTTGGGCAGGAGAAGGTGATAGGGGGTGGGGAGTGGGCCCGAAGGGAAGTCATCAGAAGTTGAAACTGTACTTCTCCTTTAAGTCCTGGTTAACCAAGGCTTGAAACTATCTACTTGTCTAAATGGACAGAAAAATACCTCACAGCTGCGTTCTCTCCGAATCGTAAAACCGCTGCTCCGTCGGCGGAGCTTCAGTCTAAGCCGGCTGAGCACAAGTCATAACCAGTTCCTCCCGCAAGCTAATCGCAATTCTGTGTTTTGTTTGCCATTTATGAACTTGATGTTTGGGGGGGGAGGACCTGAAGGCTGGAGAGATTCCCTGCCTCTCCTTTTTCTCACTGTTTCAGGGTAGGTAGGCCAAACATCCCAACAAAGCACAGCTGTGGGGAGCATCCTCACAGCTGGAGAAACCAAATCCTGACTCTTGAGCCCTTCAGAGAAGAGGAGAAAACCACTTAAGGCACAAGGGGGCTGGAGCTGCAGCTTAGAAGATATGACAGGGGGGAAAAAAAGGCACGTGCTAGGCAAGAAAGAGGAAATTACGTAGAGGAGGATGGGGACAAACTTAGTAACGCAGGGTATCCCTTGATTTCCCGGCCTCCACTGAGCATCCTTGGGGGTCTTTTACCAATCCTTCACAAGTGCGAGTAGGAAAACGCTATTACAGAATCTTTCTCTTCAATCCCAGGCCCCAGCCATCAGCTCCACTCTTGGAGCCTGGCAGAGAAATGGTGTGAGAGTGGGGAGAGGAGGGAGCAGAGGAGCCTGGCGGTTGTAGCAGTGTTGCACAGGTGGATATTTCAAGCCATGAGGTATCCTCCCCAAAACCTTCCCCCCTTTTCCCACTCCCAGAAGCCTGTTGCAGGCACAGGGAGAATGGGAAAGAAAAAAGAAATTAAACATCTTCCCCCTACCCCTGAAATTGTCTATGCCTTAGAGTTTACAGGGGAGGGGTAGATGTGGGCATCATAACTGCAAGGGACAAGTCCTTCCCATTTTAATTTTTTCGTTTTAATTAGTGTGGACCTTCCTGAGGTAGTTCGTGGGGAAGGGGCATCGTGCGTGAGAGGGGAGCTGCGTTAGACATAAATGACAATGTGAAGTTTGCTCTGCAACAGTCCAGCCAGTATCTGGTGCATAACTCAAGACTATTTAACCGAATTAGTTTTATCTCTCTGAGTGAATTTTCTTTTTGTTTGTGGTATTCTTTCAAGTAGGTTAATCCATTGGGGGAAATCTTTCTTAATCCAGAAGGAAAGAGTATTGTGCAGGGGTTTGTAACTCCTTATGAAACTGAAGCTTTGGAGCTGTAATCGGTTGTCGCTTGCCCCCACCCCCAAGAGACTCCCAGTTAGCTGCGGGGATCAGGACGGAGGGCTGGTGGCAAGAAGGTAATTTGCTGTTAAATGAAGGGGATGTGAGCAGAGACGCTACTTAAGGGTCAGGGTGGAACTTGCATGTTGGGTCCTTGTGCTGAAACGCAAACCTGATGGCCCATGTAAGCAAAGGCTGTTTTTTCTCTTGAACAACTATTCCTTACAACCTTGGAGAGAGAAGTGAGATGGAGGCTGGCCGCGGCTCCTGCAATGGATGGAGTTGGCTCGGTTTGTGGCTAGCCTGTTAGGAGGTGGCTTCTGCCTTCACCCTTTCTGCTGTGGCTGTGTAACAGTTGCTTCAGCTTTCGTTTCTGATTGTCTCTGCTTCCATCATCCACATTCCCTTCGGTGACAAAAATCTAGTAGAAATCAAAAATTCTGCAGTACCCGCTATCTTGTTGACTTTGGCACTGACCTGGTCCCATTTTCCTGTCCTTTGGTTGGTGATCCGTGACAATATATTGGGTTTTGACTAGTGGGAAGTAATTTGCGTTCTTTGAAGAGCTCTTCAGTCTCCCCAGATACGTAGCCTTTAAAGGGGTCTGGCTGGAGCTGGGAGAAGTAAGGGATAACCCCAAATCATTAATATGAGGTTGAGAAAAAGAGCACACAGGGGCTTATGGTTTTATGTTGGTATTTAGAGTCATGGCCTATAAAAAAACGATATAAAAGGTAGGCCTGTCTAGAGGACTGCTCTGAGAAATAAGAACAGTTACTACAGAGAGCTACCAGATGTAAATGTTTTTATCCATATATTTGGGAGATGATCCATCAGATCGTGCTGTTTTTAACTGTTCACAGGAGTTATGCTTTTAATGGCAACTAGTCTAAGCTTGAATACGGCAAGATGTTAATCTGCTTTTAATTGGTTTTGTCCCATCAGCATCCACAGATTTCACACTTGCTGAGAATCTGGCCTCAAACCCTGATAGGAAAGAAATATGTGTGCCTGTGAACGTCCCCAACACCCAGAGAATTATCTATAGAGTGACTTTAATACAATGTACAGGGGGATAAGGAGAAACGGGCTTGTGAGGCTCATTGACATTAGTTCTCTGCTATGCGTCCATTAAATATGAAGTACTTCTTAGTCCGCTGCTAACTCATCTGTGACTTACTGTATTAAGACACATGACAGTATTGGGAGCTGGTGACCAGACAGGATGATCAGATCTGTGTGCAAGTGGCTACCACAATCAGCGCAGGCTAAATTGATGACTCGTAGAGTGATATATTCAGAGCATAACCAAAGAACCTCACTCTCTGCATCCCTCTGGTCGTGCGAGTTGACTGTAGTCAGTTCGTTAGCGACTGGGGTGAGCAAGGTGGGACCGTTGAGCTGGAGATGTGGTCCATGGAAACTGCCTTCTTCAGGCAGGCAACGCCTGAACGCAAAGCACCGAGTGCCTGTGGTGCTGCTTTCCGTGGGTGACATCCTCGAGAAAACACAAACAGCAGCGAGTTTTGCTCTTTTTTTATGTGGCAGCCTCGTCTCTGGCAAGCTGCGTGCACCCTTGAGTTTACATCACCGCTGTCTACCCCAAAGCTCAGACTTGAGTAAGTTTTAAATTGTTTTGCTCTGGTGGGTTATCTGGTGTGAAATCCTGATCCCTGTAATAAATATTCAGATGATAATATATACAAAGCAGAAAAAAAACATTATCTTGTGAAATATACTTTTGTAAATAATATTTAATTTTTTTAAAAAAATAATATATTTGGTGCTGTTTTCTCAGAGCCCCTCCCTGAGAGCACGTTTTTGTTGTTTATAAATGATACTGTTTCCTTCTGTATTTGTTGGAAAATATGTTTAAAGGGAAACAAAAATCATAATATACGTTGTCCTCTTAAGTCGATCCATTTTTCCTCTGGACGTGGCAGGA